ATAATATAATAAAACTATCATGATCCAGTAATCCCTTTCTTAGCCTGTTTTGCTCAGTGGGTAGAGCATCAGCCTGCAAATGAATGGTCCCAGGTTCAATTTTGGACAAGGGCACATGTCCCAGTTGCAGACTCCTGGTCCTGGTCAATGAGTGGATAAAGAAGGTATGATACATAAATATAATGAACTACTTACTACCCATTCATAAAATGAAAAAATATTGCCATTTGTGACAACAGAGATCGCTATTGAGGTAATTGTGCTAAGTGAAATGTCAGATGGAACAGGCCAAAAAATGTATGATTTCAGACATACATATATGGAATCTGAAACAAACAAACAAACAAACAAACAAACACATAAACTAAGCAAAACAAAATTAGAACAAACTCATAGGTACAGAAAACAGAAAGTTGGTAACAAGAGGGTTATGGGAGTAGTTGGGAGGGGGAAATATATAATGATGAATGGAAACTAGACCTATGTTGGTGATACAGATACCAAATTATAATGCTGGATACCTGAAACTTATATAATGTTATTAACCAATGGTACCTCAATAAACAACAATAAACAAAGAAATAAAAAAGCCCTTATGAAATTAGTTCTCTGTCTGCCATCCATGATGTTGACATATTTATTTATCTTTCACCATATTAGCTTTAGCATTATTATGTGACATCTGTATTTTTAAATGTTTATTTACATAAATTCATGTCTTATTTCTTATTGCTTATTGGATTCAGAGCTTATATTAAAGTATTTTATCAGCAGTATTTGTTTTGTTGTTTAGTGGTTATGTTTTTATTAGCAGATTGAAAGTTTATACTTTTACTGCTTAATCATTTACTTTGTTCTTATAAATAAATATTTTCATTGATTTCAGAGAGGAAGGAGGAGGGAGAGATAGAAACATCAATGATGGGAATAATTGTTCAGTTGCCTCTTGCATGTCTCACACTGGGGATCTAGCCCACAACCCAGACATGTGCCCTGATGGGTTAACAAATCATGACTTCCTGGTTCATAGGTCAATGCTCAACCAGTGATCCACACAGGCCAGGCTACTTTGTTCTTATACATGGAGAAAAATATATATGCTTTCACGCTGTCCCACTCTTTCACCCTGTTCCAATATCATGAGCACACTTGGTCCTCCATCTGAACTCCACTCCTTAGCTGAGCTAATGAGGCTTCTTTCCACTCCAGAAAATGGCCCTGGACCACTCCACACCATCCATGTTACAAAGGTTTCTCAGCTTTTGATAAACATGCCTAGCTGGAACCGGTCCATTGTCTTTATCCACACTGTGCCTAATATACATAATTTTGAGGTTTTCAGAGGATTTTTTTCCCAAAAGTATGTACCTATTGGACTCCTTAGGGATTCTATTTTGAATAAATAAATGTCTATTCCCATACTTCCAGGCAATTATGAAGAATTTTTCTCTCCATGGTATTTGGCCATCCTCAATCCTATGTCTTAAACAAAAGGAACACTGTAATAACATCCAATCTATTCTACTGGTTCAAAAATAAGACCCCCGCTGCTGGTTTAGTAAACAAATGGCTTCTGGAACACCTACTTTTTGTTGTAATGATTCAACAAATATACTGATCCAGATTTTAGTACTTTACTATATTAAATGCAAACTCAAAAGGAAAAGCTATGCCTAGCTTAGAAGTATTTCCCAATTGCACTTCTCACTAAACATGCAATCTTGGGCAAATTACTTAATTCTACATATCTGTTTCATCCTCTGTAAAACTAAGATCATTCTAATGTTGTCTTCATGATTATGCAAGCATGAAATTATTTCAAACAGCATGCAATGCCTGACACATGCTAAGTGCTCAATAAATATTCTCTGGAGCTATTTCAGGGACCATTATCACACTGCTGTGGCAAACCGTAGTCTCAGAGCCTGACTAAACTAGCTTGTTTTGTGGGGATCGATTTTAGATTTTCTGTAGAACTCCAAGTCTAAACGCGAAATGTCCAATCTCCTTTTATCCACTGATCAGAACTTGTACAGATAGAATTGATTCCACAGTTGATGGATGGCAAGCAACATTTAGGTCTCTGAAAACTGTGAGCAACACCACAGCCAGAAAGGAACATTGCCATTATAGCAAAATCAACTAGCATCATAATTACACAGTGAAAGCGGAAAGGAGTGAGGACTTCATGTACTATTTGCAAAGCAAAGCACTTAATGGAACATGGCATGAGTGTTTCTTATCTGATGGTGAAACCTCTCTCCCTGTTCCTTTCGATTCAGTATTAGGTCCTACTTTTTGCTTATTAGGTCCATGTAAAAACCTACAATTTGGCCAAGTACCAATTTGGGTTCAATGTACCTTCATGCACCTGAGATTGAGTGGAAGCGTTTAAATAGAAAGAGGTTTATTTTCAGAAGAAATGTTTTGGGGTGGGCAGGCCAGGACTGGAGCATGAGTTCCAGACCCTCTTCTCTCTCTGCTCCATCTCACTTAGCAAGAGGCTTTGCTCCTGTGGTTGCCAGCAGCTGCTGCATTTCCACACCACATCTGTATTACAGGCAGCAAGAAAGGAACATGGCAGTCCTGACATATGTGTGCCAGCTATGGCTTTTAGTCTGCAGACCTACATCTTTCCTGGAATCTCCCTCTTTGGACTCCACTTACATCATACCAGCTAGAATTAAGTCACATAGCCACTTCTAGATGAAAAGAAGAGATGGGAGGTGAACATTTGATTCTGCATGGTGCCACCCTGTACAAAACTGAGTTCTCTTAGTAACACAGAAGGAAGGGCTAGTATTAGTTAGATCACTCACAGTGTCAGTGTAAAGGAAATAAGCATGACCTTATTATTTGTAACAAATGCCATATTTCTGCGTATATGCATTATTCAGCAAGGCTGACAGAACACCGACTGCCCTAAATCAGCAGATGCCGGGTCTATTATCAGGACTACAACACCATCCTCAGATTATTCCCCCTACCTCTGGCCTCATTTCCTAAAAGCCCTTGCAATAAAGTTTGACAAACATTTCTGTTTTTTACAACACAGGAAGTGTTTCTGGCTTTGTGAGTTAGTCTTGACTGCAACTACTCAACTCTGCCACAGCAATATCCAGGCTACTGCAGGCAGAATAAAGATGGATGGCTATGACTGTGTTCCAGCAAAACATTACTATCAAAAACAAACAGCAGGGTGGCTTCATCTCCCTGCCATTGTTTGCTGGTCCTGTTCTATAGCATTGCTAGCTTTTTATTTCTGAAGCTAGAGGCCTGATGCACAAAATTTGTGCAAGAGTAGGCCTTCCTTCCCCTGGCTGCCAGCACTGGCTTTCCTCTGCTAATGGGACCTGGGCTTCCCCTACAGTCCCGGCTTCATCCTGGAGGTCATCTGGAAGGACATCTGGTCTAATGAGCATATTACGCTTTTATTATTTTGGATTAGAATCTATGTACCACCTATTCTTAAGCACCCAAAGTAAAGTGAGTTTCTCCTTGCACTTTCACACGACCATCCATACATTCATATTCCAATGCCTCTAATGTACGCATGCCGAAAATAATCTCTATTCAAATAATATATTTTAAATCTAAGCTTTAAGTCTCAAGAATGGTCAACATTATTATTACCACAGCTGAACTTTAATTACATTTAGGAAATTCATCTCATAAGATAAAGATAAATTAAAATAGCTGGACCACAGGTATCTGTGCGTGGTGGGGAAACTGGCAGATCACCAGGTGACTGGAAACCTAGACTATAATTTATTAACTGCTGGGTAAGCTTTGCATTCAGAAGAACCTGGAGTTGATTTTTTTTTTTTTTGGCCCATTTCTAGACATGAGAATTTAGAAAGTTACTTAAGTGTTGTATGCCATTTTTTAAAAAAATATATTTTATTGATTGTTTACAGAGAGGAAGGGAGAGAGATAGAGAGCTAGAAATGTCGATGAGAGATAAACATCGACCAGCCGCCTCCTGCACACCCCCTACCGGGAATGTGCCCACAACCAAGGTATATGCCCTTGACCGGAATCGTACCCGGGGGACCTTTCAGTCTGCAGACCGACGCTCTTCCACCGAGCCAAACCGGTTTCGGCTGTGTGTCATTTTGTACATTATTATTATTATTGACAGCCCCACAGATGTCTCCTATCTTCTCCCTTTACCCCCCTTCACCAACTTCAGGCTTTCTCCATACTATTGTCTTTATCCGTGAGTTAGGCATATATGCATATATGTTCCTGTCCCCTCCCACAAAAACACTCACACTGAAATCTGTTATTCTGTTCCCTGCATCCCATCTCTAGACCTATTTTGTTTGTCATTTTGCTTTGTTCATTATATTCAACAACTAATTACAATCATGTGATATTTGTCTTTCTTTAAGTGGCTTATTTCACTCCTACATTTTAAAAGTGGTATTCGAAATACCTCACAGGGTTGTTGATATTTAAAATACATATAAGTCATATAAATGTTTAAGTGTATGTGTGATGTTTTACTGATTCATGTAGCTATTTTTTGTACCTTTAATACAATTTTAATTAGTTCATAAACTATAAGCTTAACAGACATACCAAAAGACTTATGAAATTATATTGTCTTTCCTTATCTATGCAAATTGTCATTTTGAATGTGTTTCTATCTTCTTAACAATATACTAGAAAAATTGACATGGTCAGGAAAACCTGTCAGTTAATCGAGAATTGCTATTTTTTTTCCAAGTTATGATAGTATTTTCCTGAGATCAAACCATTACTTATACATACAGTATACTCAGAAGTTTAATTTTACTAAATATAATAATAACTAGAACCAATATTCCTTAATACTTTAGCCTATGTGAAAGTATTAAAATATTTTAGAACTTTTTCAAATTTCTACATACATAAATGCACACAAACACATACATACACACATTGAAACAGGTGTTCAAAATATATTTTTGGATCCTCAAAATATATTAAGTCAAAGTATAAAATTATTTTCTTACCCATATCTGACATTTCAGGCACGGTAACGATATATGGTCCATCTGTGAACTTTGGAGCATTGTCATTGATGTCTTGCACTTTGATGATGAACTCGGACTCCGGTTCAAGAGGCTTGTTTGTCCGTCTGTCAATAGCCTGGGCATGGAGCACATAGTGGGTCTTCTGCTCTCTGTCCAGGCTTTTCGTTGAGTGGATGTCACCCGTGGTATCATCAATGATAAATATGGTCCCAGCACCTTCTCCAGTAAGGATGTACTTGACAGATCCATCACCTTTGTCAGAATTGGAGTGCAGCTATAAAATACAAATGGAATAATTTAACATACAATTATATTCCAACCTTACTTGTATTCTCTGATAACTGCCTATCAGTGACTTAATACTTAGTTTGATTATGAATTTTTCCCACAGTGTCTTGTGAGTTACTACAATCATTTATTTTTCTGACATTTTGCTCCACATGTGATTAATATGGATATTTTTACAAATATGTGTAAAAGACATCTACTTATTTATTTAAGAGAAATTAATCCTTTTTAATAAAAGAATATGCATATTGACCTAATGGCAGAGTGACCTGGAATGACCAGTTGCTATGACATGCACTGACCACCTGGGGGCAGATACTCAACACAGTATCTTCCTCCTACTGGTCATTGCACTCCCACAGGGAGAGCTCTGCTCAGCCACAATCCAAGAAGGGCTGCAAGCGGCAAGTGCAGCAGCAGTGGTTGGAGTCTCTCCTGCCTCTGTGGCAATGCTAAGAATGTCTGACTGATGGCTTAGGTCCGCTCCTGCAGGGCCTAAGCAGTCAGTCAGACATCCCTCAAGGACTCCTGGGCTCCCAGGGGTATATCTGAGTGCCAGCTTAGGCCTGATCCCCTGGGGAATGGGCCTAAGTTAGCAGGTGGACATCCCCCAAGGGATCCCAACTGTGAGAGGGCTCAGGATGGGCTGAAGGACCCCCAGAGGGCACACATTTTCATGCACTGTAATACTTATAAAAGAAAAAGAATAACCCTTGCTGTTATTCTACCAAATCAATATTTTACTACCAATATAGAATAGGGAAAATAAATGACCATCACATCCCTTGGAAGAATACTATTTCCATACTTGTAGAAAAATGTTGTGTTTTTTTATTTATTTTGTTTTAAGTTGTCTGACGTTGTATTTTAAAGTTAAAAATGCAGTAAAATATGGTAGAAAATTTCAGACTAAAATTATTAAAATTGCCATAAGAGATACATGTTTGTCACAGAGGCCAACATTTTTAATTAACTGTATTTTCTAGATAAGTTATTCAATTTGAATGATAAAAACTTCATGGTAGAATGTTTTCTTTCTTTCCAAGTTATAAAAAATTCACTGAAAATTTAAATAGTATTAAAGATTTAACCAATAAGCAGACCCCAATTTTTAATTAATTGAGGTATGTTAGTTAAGCCTCACTTATTAAAATTAAAATGACAGAATATTCTTTGAGCAGATATTAATTAGAAAAGTAATATTTCAGGCAAGAGGAGGTTTTCAATAAGAATGACAAATAACATTAAGACCATTTTAACCTACTTTTTGTCACTCACACATTAGTAATAGCTTTTAAATTGTGTAGAGTTCATACTTAATATTATATTATAACTCATAATATCAAAACCCAGTTAAAAATTTCAGGGAATGCCACTGCTACAACTCTAGCTGGTAATAGTTTCAGTACTTTATCAAATCACAACCATATATTTAAAGAATTGTTTCTCCCAAGAGCTCTAAACAGTTATCCTTTATATGAAACCTTTTTGGTCATATAACCTCCACTACTTACCTTTTGTTCATTTCTGACACTTGGGAACATTGAAAAATATAACCTGTTCACATAGCATTTTGGTTTCTTGCCATAGTAAAGTGAAAATCTTAAGGTTTATTTTAAAGTCTCTGAACTTTTAGATGACTTTTTAGAAAAGACAGAATGTAAAAAAAAAAAAAAAGGCTATACAGCATGAGGAAAGGAGTACTTTTTAGGAAAATGAAGTAAACTGAAACAAATTATTGGACATCAGGAATAATTTTATTTCTTTTTTGAAAATAAGACATACATAGGGACAAAACTCTAATGAGAATCACTCAGCAAGATTGAATAAAATAATTCCATAACTACTTTTATAAAAAAAAATAAAACTAAATTAGCAAAATATGAAGCATAGTTTTCAAAGATTAACACTTCATTAGTAAATTAACTACTAAGAGAAGAATGCAAAATGAGTTGTGTGAAGACAGTTATGTGCTTGTATAAAAATGTACTTGTTTCTTTATTTCTCTTGTCATCATTTTAGCACCTAGAAGAAAAGATCAATCATTTGATCGACAGGCAGCCTATTTCATATTCTCTAACTTTGCATCAGTTTCTGACGAGAAAATAACAGAGTATACAGCAACAAATTCACTGAATAAATACTTTTAGAGCCTTTCTGAAACATTCTTGTTAATAAGTCAAATAAGAGATGAGATAGCTATATTAGCTATTGTTATGACATATGTAAATTATAAGCCTTTGTAAAATAATCATAAGTAATTATACATGCTTTTGGGGAAAAGTGGCATGCCTTTTATCAACTAATTTCATAAATAAATAACAATGGTTACAATTTACTCTTATCTTCAGGATATATTTGTATGCTCTTCTATGCTTTTTAGTGAAGTTGACATAATATGTTTTAGTTTTGAATTAAAAGTCGATATAATAAAATATATTTATATTTAAAAGACAAAGGGCTTACCTATGTTGGCCAGCAACAGAAGTAGTTAAAATAAATAGTTGTCAATCTAAGTATCTATTAAAAGTGTTGTATGCTCTATGCTTTATATACATCTCATAAGTAATTATAATACAAATTAGAATTCTAATAAAAGGAAAATTCCAATAATTTGTATACTTTAGCCTTTAAGATTTGGATCTGTTTCCATAAAGACTTTAGAATAAATAAATCACTTAGTCAAAATGTTTCAGAAGTTATGTCTAATTTAAAAATAGATGTGAATTATAATTTAAAAGTATTTATATAGTTGTATAACAGCAAAAGCTACATTAAAATACTACAAAATGTATTTGGAATATATTAGGTATTGGTAATACTCACTTTAAGTATTTATATAATTGGTTAAATGACTTTTAGATGGTCATTTTATGAATGGATTATTTAAACTCTCAGCTGGTCTGGTTAAATCTTGAAATATTTAGTTTCATGTAACACCAATGGGAAACCACCACAGGAACATCTAGACAATCGATTAATTATGATAATAACCATTTGTGAAGCAACAAAGTGATGCACTCTTAGGACTACCTCATCTCTACCATACCTGTTCTCTAATATTCAGTTCTTTTTGCAACACACAGTCTGCAACATAGGAAAAGCCCGAGAAAAACACTGGCTATATTGTCTTGGTTGGCTTAATAAATGGGTTTTAAGATCCTGGAAAAGCACATGTTTTGTATTAGATATTATTAGGCAAGAAATTATGACTAAAATTGGGTGAATAAATTCATTCATTTATTCTTTCATTCATTGAGTGAGCAATAATTGCAATAGTACAGATACACATTTTAAAATATGGAGAGAAAGATTTTACACACAGGTAATCAGGTAATAAGGATAATCAGACACAGATCTTTAAGGTGGACAGCCATGAGTCACCAAATAAAAGGGATTAGAAGGAAGGCATGAGAAGTAGAATTACTCTGTATGCACACAGGGTGCTGGCTTACTAACCAGTAAAATATTACATTGGAAGTCTAACTAGCTACATATTATTTGAGAGATTTTCCTTATTTTTATAGTGAATTATGAGAAAATATAAAGTTGATTTTTAGTCATATGTAATGATCCCTTTTTAGCAGTCCATTTTGAAGAGCTATCGAGACAACAGCAGCAGGATCTGATCATAGCACCCAGTGGTGTGGATATAACTCTTAGAGTCTCGAGATTTTATCTTACTGCTCTAAAGCAAGAATAGGTAATCCTTATATATCTGATCACATATTAATAAAGGTTAACGAGCTGCTCTTTGGAGAATAGAAAAAGTAAAAGAGGGAAGAAAACAAAAAGAAAATTTAGTCACTCAAGTAAAACAACCCGAATCTTTCTCTGGAATTGCTTTAATACACTGACTATTAACTATAATAGTAATCTATGGCATTTAGAAAGCTAATGTAACTTACCTAGAAAACTATTCACCCTGGACCATGTTAAGAACAGTACCTAAAAATTTATAGCTTTTAGTCTAATGCAGAATTTCCAACCCAGATAATATTCTGTCCTTTTTGGGTACAATAACTTTAAAAGTTTAAGAAGATGTTCATAGTTGCTTTTAACTAGGATTTCAAGATATGTTAAAAATATAGGTCACTGACTTAAAATTGTACTTTGGACTACATAATTTATGTACATTTTTTTGAGCAGGAACTTATGTTTACCAAATTCCAGTTTGAAGCCAGAAATAAATTCAGAAATATTATATAGTAATCCCACTATTACCTAATTTTCTTCAATACATAAAAGACAACTGATGCAAGGTGACAAGAATGATCATAAGATGGTATCATTAAAATGTATGTGTTCTTCATTTCATAATGTTAAATATTGTAGTTAAACCATGACCATATGGATTAAACTCAATTGAACTATTATTAATGAGTAATTGATGTGAAGGAAAAAAAAAAGCCATAAGTAATAACAGTCACTTGGTCACTAATACATCAGACACTTGCTGCTTAAAAGAAAAAATACATAACCATCAGTTTTAAATTAATATGTAAAATTGTATGGTGTCCTTAAGGCACTTTGTTCAGCCACAAAACTAATGGTAACAATTAAAAGGTTAGGAAAATATATAAAAGTAAGAAAATAAATAATACAATTATTTCACTAGAAACATCAGATGTTTTCACAGATAGGCAATGGCATTGTTGAATTTCAGTTCTTAGTTTTTAACTTCTTTATGAGAATTCTTAGAGAGTCTTGTAAATGAAGAGGAGGAGGGAAAAGGGAGCAAAAGATATTACCTGTTTGATATCCCCTGAATCCCAGATTGGGGATATTAACATGTGTGTATCTCTTCCATGCCATTGAGTTGGCTTCAACTCATGACAGCCCTAAAAATGAGTAATGTCTACAAAATGTCCTGTTTTCAACAGCCTTGCTTAGCTCCCGTAGACTTATGCCTGTTATGGAGAATAGAAAAAGTAAATTTGGCCTTCCTATTTTCCTGCAGATTTCTATTTTCCCAGTCTTTACAAA